CAGATCTTGGTGCCCTAAAGACAATGTGCTTGCCATCAATAACACCAATGCACATCGGATAGTCCCAGAGCTCTTCAAAGTTTTGTGATATTTTCAACCACTCCGCTAGAGTCTGTGGACACTACAAGAAAAATAGTTTTATATCCATTACGATTAACTATGTGCTTGATGCTTGTGCTTTATTAACTTACTTTCTGATACAAAGGTCGCAAATGTGCATAGATGGCTCTACATACTTCTGGTACAATTTTACCGATTGTACTTTCATGAATCCTGGTGGAAAACATGAGAGACCTGAATGTTTCCCCTGATGCGAGAAATCGCAAAGTAACTGCTAACCTGCAAAAATTCAAAAAACAATATTTAGCTAAAACAACTCATCAACAGATTGTAAGAATGCACCTGTGTGGTTTAAATACTTAGGTTGTGAATGGTCATTGTACAGACTAATAATAATTAAATTAATAATAGAGAAACTAGAAGATTCATGCATGTACTTGTATGCACACGAAAAGTATACTTTTATAGTGTACCATACCTTTCTCGTGGGGAAATTGCAGCTTGCATACAGGTGTCCTCCTTCTTAACATCTGCATTAAACCACAATCCAAGAGCTCTTCAAAATTTTCATGTCAGTCTCATGAATGACGATAAAGTGTGGGTCTCGAAGCGCAAATTCGTTGTCTACCCAGTGTGGCAGACCACAGCCAGTTCTCTTTTTCTGCACCCAGGATTTCACCCAAACACAGCGTTCTTTTCTTTACGTTCTGCTTTATACTACAGCTGAAGCCATAATAATGTGAGCTGCCGCCGTAGCGATCATTGCTTTCCTTTCCATTTCAAACTCAAAAACCACAATACTTCACACGTTTATCTACCACCTTCACTGCGAATACGTAACCATCTGATCATCACGCGTCGTTTTTTTCTGCGGTAAAGTACGGTTGCTGGGGAAGAAAAGGTTGCCGGAGGGTTCATTTTAAGCATCTATTGTAACTTGTTTTTTAATTTCTTAATATACTCCTTATATTGTTGTATGTTATTAGAAATTGTCTTATTCCACTACGTCATAACCTTCTTGCATCTTACGCAATACATACACAATAACATCCCTGTAATGGACTGACCTGCACAGAATCTTGACTTGAATCCTATCGAACGCCCTTGGGATGTTTTGGAACGCCGACTTCATGCCAGGCCTCACAGACCTACATTGATTCCTCTGCTCAGTGTAGCACACCAGTAGCACACCGTGGAGAACAGGCTGCCATTTTCCATGAAACGTTTCAGGACCTGATTGAAAGTATGCTTGCGAGAGAAGCTGCCATCAAGAGTAAGGCTAGGCCTCACTCTATTGAATTCCAGCATTACCGATGGAGGGCGCCACGAACTTGTAAGTCATTTTCAGCCACGTGTCCAGATACTTTTGATCACATAGTGTATTTGTCTATTATTTCGGCGCGCAGAATCTGAATCCTGAATTTCGCAACTACCCTCCTGTTTTTTCTAATGGGGGGGGGGGGGGGCTACCCATCGATACAACAAACAGTTCAATTTATTTTGAACTAAATGAATTTTGTGTGGCCATACCACCCAAAGAGGTAAATCCCCCTTTTTATTTAAAATCGCATCCATTTATATATTTATATTTATATGTTACATAGTAGTTATTTGTTGTATTTTAATTTGACCTTCATTTTCTTATGAGTTACTCTGTACCTGAAGTACCCCTACTAGGGTTGAAACATTGTGTATAATCAAGACTTTTATAATGTAATAAAATATATGCAAATTTTTGTCTGTTTTATTGCCCTAATTTCATCCTAAAATTCAAATTATTTCATATCTTTACAGCCCTTTCAGATTGCAAATGTTTAGTTGTCTACCTACTTTAATTCAGTTAATTTAAATAGTTCATTAATATAATTTATTTTGATGTGATTGCCATTGCATTATTAGTTACTTAATATTGGCTATAGTTGTTTGTTTTACCTAGTTTGTATAATATTGCATTTCTTTTCGATTGAAATTTATTACTTTCAAATTGATTACCTTTCATTTAGGTTTAGTAATCTTAATTTAGCTTTCAATTAATTACAGTCCTTTTTTTCTTTTCTTTTATGCAATTAATTTATTGTTAGTTTCATTTTATTATACCAAGTTATTTTAAAATCAGAAAATAACGTCTTGTCTCGGTACATCTAGGCCAGTGGATGCAAAGTTCTAAGGGCCCCAATCGAGGCTGGTGGCCATATTTCAGTATTCTGACTTCCCTGCATTGTTGATCTTGGCAGTAGGCCTGGCTGCTCTGAAATGGGGTGGGGAATCAAAATGGATCCATGCATGATATCGGGCCTTACCATGCATAATGCAGTGAAATACATTGGGATGATTGTGTGTTCCTGAATTTTCTACAAATATTGCTTAAATCTAAACTTAGCCCCTTTTTACATTTGGTGGGCATTTACCCCTGGAGGGTAAGTGAGCGCTAGGTGCACAATATTCTCTTACCTGACATGGGTGCAAGAGACTGAAACTTTGGACTAATAACCTTTTGTGGAGCCACAAAAAATAGCACTGCGGACCGGCAGTTGGACAACCCTGATCTAGATTAATTCTCAATACCAGTAAAAAAAAAAAATACTAGAATTCAGTTTGCTTCTAAAAGGTGTTGTAAATTTATATTATGGGGTTTGGAAAGAAGTAGTCATTGAAGGGATTCATGTCACCCACACTTTGTTACATCATGTGTGGTAAAATTATTGCTGTCTTAGCTCTCATGGCAGAGCATACTTTCATATCGACAATTTTGATGTGGACTATGTAAGATCACATTAAAAAGAAATTTTAAAAATATGAAGTTGTCTGGCTCATTTATCCTCATAAACAAATGTTACATGTAAAAGTATTGACAGAAGTACATTTTAAAAAATGTTTCAATACAAGGGTATCTTTAACTATTGCCAAAACATCCTTTGTCAATATAATGGATCATGTCCTATGAATCCACATTGAGCCAGAAAAGTAGCCACAGCATTTTAGTACTGTAGGTGCTTCAAAATTGTCAAAAATGTTTTTCCTAGAATTCTTCCAGAATATTCAAGACATCTGGTAAAAAGAGAGTCAATGGGTTCATCTTGTTGAGATTAATCTAATGTCATTACCTCTGTAGGTGGCTTTAAAACTTCCTACAATGCATTGTAGGTACTTAACTCCCAAACTCCCTTTAATAATTCATTTCAAAAGTATATTAAATTATTTTCAATATGATGATAAATAATTATTGTAAAACCATAAATCCCCAATGGGGGTGACACCACCCCTAGAGGACACTGGAACCTTCCATGGAGACACCTTCCAGAAGCAAATAGGGGCTTTGAAGCAATCAGGAGGGTTGGACACGGGGTTTCTACTTTAACAACACCGAATTATTTTTAAAATATTCATTTACAAAATTAAAAAAATATATTTATAACTTATTACTTATCAATATTGCTTGCTTGAGCAAAGGCAAGATCTCATCAACAGTAGTCTGAGTTTATTCTTATTCTTATTATTATTATTTGGTGATAATGTAGAAACTGATTCAAAAGGTGAATCTATATTTATTACTGGGCAATAGTTTTTTAACAGAAAGAAATTCCTATTTGCAATATTTTGTCAACTGCCACAGTTAGTACTCTAACGATGACAGGGCGTCATAAAGATTTCATAGTGCATTTGAAACAAACAGTACCAAATGCACTGACAGTACACTGTATTATTCATCACCAGCTTTTGGTTTCCAAAAGTTTGAATAAATATGTCACTCTGTTTTGTTATTAGAGTAATCAATAAGATTAGAAGCAATACATTGAATGACTGATTATTTGGTCAGCTTTGTATTGAACTGAACACTTTCTGTTGCACATAGAAAGAAGTTTGGCTCTCTAAAGGTGTTTGTCTGAATTGCTTTCTCAATCTATTGGTCACAGTAAAACAAAAGAATAAAGAATTTGGACGTGCCAAAGACTGCATTCAATTGATGATGGGAAAAATAATATAAAAGTAGAAAAAATATAATTCATGCTCGAATTGTCATGTATAGTAATTAATACTGAAAATTTCTGAAGACCAATGAATTTTATTATCTTGAGCAAAATAATTTCAGATCACAGGTTTACTACAAAGATTAAACAGAATCAAAGTTCAAAGCAACCAAACAACAAACATAATGGTCTATGAAATGTGACTATGCATGCAGATTTCATTACTTGCATTTTAGTGTGTGGTATTATGAGAATTAAATATATTTCTGACTTCTTGCAAGTAATGGCAAAAGGGACTCAAATTACTCATGTGGACATTTTTGCTAGAAAAAAAAAAAAATTTTTAATTATTTGTGTGCAAAGTCCTGTAGCAAAATTTCTTAAAATAGAAGAAAAGACACCTAATGCCCATCTGTGATAAAAATACTTAAAAAATAAAGCTTATATTGAAACAAATATGCTGCAAAAGCAGCAGGAAAGGCAAAAGGGTGTACAAGATGAAAGAGCAGGATTATTATCAAACACTGGAGAAAGACCTACAGCAATTTAGAGATGTTTAGAAAGAAGAAAAAGCCATGAATAAAACAAAAATCAGTGATAATTGCTACAAAATGTTAAATACTTTAAAACATATAGATAATTAAATAAGATTTATACAAAATTCATTTAATTAATGTCAATTTCAATTACTTAATGACAAGAATCAAACATGATATCTAAAATTTCTGTGAAAACATCAAACCACTCTGAATTTCTGTTACTGACTAATGTTACATCTACACACATAACTACATTGAAATTATTAATAATAAATATTAACCACTCACATGCCCTCAAAAAAACAACAAAATAACTGGGTAACTTTATCACTGAGGTGGGAAGTTAGTAAATGGAAGTCATTATAAAGGTATAGATTAGGAGGTATTTAAACTGTGACAGGAATAATGACATATTTTTCTTAAAAAAAAAAGTTGCTGTATAAAATAGGAACAGTCATTGTTCTGCTTCAATTAAAAATTATGGGAATAAATAACAATTTATTTGTGCTGGAAGAAATCAGCATATGTTCAATGCTGTACAGAAACCATCACTCAAATCGTTTTCACATAAAAAATGCTGATTGAGAGCTACAAGATTCCAGTAATTGTTCATCTTAACAGAGCTGCACACAATGTTTGTTTTGGTCCCTATAAACTTCCTTTGCCTATAAAAACACTGGCCTGCTTTTAGTTCTGGTTACTCCAGTTTATTAAACTTTTTTTATTACGGTGCACTTGTTTGTACTGAGAAAATCTCCTTTTCTTTGTGCAATATTAATTTCACTTGTGCATTGTCTCATGACACACACTACATTTTCACAACTTCATAATAATTCACCTTGAAACTTTCTTAAAGAGATTGGGTATAACTTTCAAATGGTATTAATCACAGATTCTATAAAATACTTTCTGCCACTTCGCTACACAAGTCACATTGTAGAAGTATTTCACATTGGGCTAATATGGAAGTCTTTGATTCCTTTAACAAATGAAGGTAAGCAATATGACAAGTGGGTGGCCAGTGGAAAACAGACTAGATGGCAGGTCTTCCTTCCAATTGAAAGTCACTAACACACACACTCGACACTCACAGCTGACTTAATGATTTTAAGAAGAACACTTGCATTCCATCGTATTAATTTGTGAATTAACACAGCTCGAAAAACAATTTTTCACTTCTTAAATCCCATAATTTTCATAATTTCTTTCTTCAGGTATGCGTAGAAAACAGATTCATTTTGGTTTTATCTCTCAAATTTTCAACACTTTATAATATGTTGAAAGTTACAGTATGCAAACAATACACAGAACAAGATGAAAAATGACTGAAATTTTAGAATTTCTTAAATATCAATGAAAAATCATAAAACAAAATGTCAAAAGTGCAAAGCAGTTATAATTATACTCAATTTTGAATCTTATTTTACAAAACAACTTTTGCTTTTGCCAGCATGATACAAGGAACTCAACATTCAACATAGTTCACATCCAAATAACACCCACTTATGACACTGGTGTCTATTATTTTTAATGCAAATGCAATCTTCACCCTTTCTGGAAAACTGAAGAGAGATTCAGCAACATTCACATACAAAAATGTTTTGTGCATGAAGAATTTTCAGTATTCCTCATTTTATGTTCGTATCACCATCACAAGCATAAACTATTATGTCTTCTTGTACGTCATTCAACAAACAATACATTTCTGTCAAGATCTTATCTTGAAGAGAAAATGTCACTAAACAAAGAAAAACTGAAGTATCCTTCAGTACAACTTGACTGACACAATTTCTTCTTCCTTTTCTTTTTCAGAAATTATGTAAACATAATTAACATGTTCATAACACAGTTTTTGAAAACAATCTTCATCCTTAAAGACCACACATGAAGTACAAAATTCATCTCACTCTCTTCAATGTTCCAACTTCCTATCATCAATGACCACTATCATAAAGAATTACTGCATTAAATAACTAAATGTCAACGCTTCAGGCTGTGTCATCTTCCGAAGCATCACTTGGTCCTGTGACTACAGTCGTTGGAAGCAACAGGGCTTGCTGTGCTCGCCTCGCATCAGCTACATCTTTCAGTTCCATGAAGATCTCAATGATGTTGTTGATACCAATGAGGTATCCATCTTCATGGTTGCCAACCACCCAATGGGATGAGTGATCTATCTTTATCCCAGATGGCAACACCAGAGTCTTAGCAAAGTCAATCAGCCATACAGATGCATTGTGGCGATCATGAACAAACAACAGAGAGCTTCCAATGACCTGTAAAAAACAAAAATGAGTAAGCACTCAAATCTATATATTTAAAAAAACCTAAACACAGAAGAATACTCGGAAAATGGCGGATTTATTTGGAGAAAACTTAAATTTAAAGCTTTCTCCCATAAAAACAGTTAATTTAATTTTTAGAAATTTAGTTGGCTATGTACTAATATGTAATTTTGTATTGACAACAACACCAACCACTTTATCTTTATTTTTGTTTATTTTTTGTTCATTTTTAATTCTTTCAAAAATCTTTTGCATAAAAATGATGATGAAAATTTTAATGTAAATTGAATAAATAGTTTGCATTTGTTTACAGGTTCATTCACAAAGGGAAATTCTTCGTGAAATAATGTATCATTACAGGAATGAATAAACTTCATTCCTGTAATGATACATTTCTTTGAAGAAATTAATGTTTGTTTTTGCAATATGGAATATATCCTTCAAATATACTTTTAAAAATCGATGAAAAAGTTACATTTACTTTGACTACTTTATGACTTCATAAACCTTTTATTAATATTTGAATATAGTTAAAAAGCAGAGAGAGAATAGTAATAAATGCCATAAAACAATCTATGAAAGAAAGAAATGAATTTTCATTCCAAAATACAAGAAAGTGACAAATATTTTTTATGAATTACTTTTATTATAATATGATATTTTACTAAATTTAAAACACATACTAGAGCAATCACTAGTAGATCTAGATGAAGGTCCTAAAGGTAATGTCCTCTCTCAAAGTCAATAATAATAAAAATATCTCTTATTTATAACAATTTTTATATATTTATTACATCACGTTCAAAAGTGTTTTCTCCTTTGAAAATTAACCTTTTTTAAAAATTTCAGTAAATATTTTTTTTTATTCAGAAATGTAAACATTTGGGTTAACTTCACATAAAACATTCTGGTTGAGTTCAGTTCTCCCTGCTATTAAATTTTTATGAAATAGACAAATTACTTCGACATTATGGTATTGCTTTGTCCCAAAATAAAACAAAACAAAAAATTAATGAATCATGCAAAATGCAAGCTAACTGCTGCAGACTCACAAACCATCTAGCCTCATGTGATAGCCAGGTACTATGAGAACCTCAAGGAATTAGCAAGTAACGTCCATAGTTTAGCCTTGTATCCACGGAAGAGAGGTTTAGACCAAAATTATCTATCGCTGAAATGCCTTTATTGGCCCAAAAAACTATTATTCTCGCAAGATTCTTTTGGTTCTTCAAATTTCACTTATTACCTTAGATATGCTGTTTAATACATAGAAACATTACATCACTTAAGACTTGTATATCTTCGTCCGATCTTGAATCAGTGAACAAGGTTATAAAAAATCTAACCAAAATATTTGTCTTAGACTCATGACAATACATCAAAATATTAACTACTTTAAAGGTTTTATGTATCCAAAAACTGTATATCTTTGCAATTAATTAAAAGAACAGATGAAAATGTTGGATTTGGCAAATTTACCTTTTTTACCATTTCAGATGATTATTAAGCATTAGGTATATAATACAAGAATTTACAATTTGACTTCACCTAATGAGTAATAAATGAATTTACATGATCAATACACACACTTAACATTACTGAACATCAGGTCATATTGTTGGGAGCTTACCTCATGTGATGAAAAGAATTCTGACTGCTCTAATGTCGCACGTATGTCTTTCAACCTCTGAATATACTTGGGCTGAAATATTATAAACAAATTTCAGACACATCAAGATATGCATTATAAGTTTAAGTAACATTATGAATTTAGCTATTGACTTAGGTTATTTAATCAGATTTTAATACATATTACACCTATCAAAATATATATTTGTTTTTAAAAAAGACAGTTTTTTTCTTTTATATCATACATTTTTACATAAGAATTCATTTTGTTATGAATTTATTTTTATTTTGGTCCTTGACTGTGTTTTGCAAAAGGTTCATTTCATGCCAGTTGTTTCTCTGAAGTAATAAATTTATTGAACAAAAACTTTCAAGTGACTACACTTGTTGTTGTGACTATCTACATCCATAGGATCAAGGCAGAAGGAAACTTTCACCATGCATAAGATATCAGATCTTCCATGTGGTTTTGTAGAGCCTAACTTTGGCAACCTTTCTTAGACATTGTAGTGCCAAATTGAACTTGTGCATGTACCCAGCCAAGCATTCTGTTTTGTTCTTGAGCAGAAAAATTCCTACTCTTAAATCTATCTCCCGATATTTGAAGGGCATACCCTTCTGAATTCTTCATATTAACATTTTGTGTTATTTTGGTTAATCACTTATGGTTAAAACCTGTGTCTTGGACACAGAAAGTTTCATAAAATATTCTTAGTTAGCAAGTAAAAGTCTTCCAACGGCATTCAGATTCCAACATTACTGTCATCTCTCAACACTATCACCTACTGTTTAAAATTGGGATTGCATTCATTTTCTGGTATCTCATTTTATTTCAAAAATTGGCATAAGCTTTTCTTGAACAAGCAAAATTGTGTGATGATGACACGAGATACCCCACTTCACAAAGTGGTTAAATGCATACTGTCTGTTTGGGTTCATTTTTATCCATATATGCTGTGAAAAATGCATGTGAGCACTGAGAATATTAGCTTTAGATGAGAAATGTATCAGTGACTTTCACAGTTAATCCCAATTTTAAAGAAATATTGGTTGTTACAGACATGTAACTTTATGAAGACAATGTTACAGTGATTATTTGCGGGTACTGAATTCCAAAGTTTATTTAATGGCTATAATATAGAACTCTCAAAGATAAAAATAGTTAAGTCCAGTAGGATAAGCAATATTTATTACTTCAAATGGTTTAATAAATATTGAATTAATGGAATTTCAAATTGTGCAAATTTATTTTGTTTAGATGTTGACATTCTATAAATTTGATATTACATATTATATCTGCTTTTAGATAGTTGTTACATATTCTCATCATTTTCATTCAATATATATGTACTTAATGTTTTGCTGTTTCATGCTACATATTTTTCCAGACTAATAATAAATTTATGAACAATCGTATCAAGTAAAATGGTATAGTACTTAATGTAAGTAATTAGTAGTAAGCACTACTAAACTATAATTACTGTAGTTCTTTGTAAAATTAACTCTAAAATTATAAATGTGAATGAAAACAAAATCTGTAAACCACAAAGTCCCAAAACTGGGACAAAGAATACTATATTAATTTTGGTAAGTCAAATCGTGCTGGGTCCACAATAATTTAATTAATAAAATAATCTTCTTATTTTGATATGCTATAACAGATTTAAGAATATCTTTTAAAATTAAATTTTATTTATTATCTTTTAATTTAATGTTAGTGTTATTCTTTGAAAAACTGAAAACTTGAAGTATAGAAGCCTTTTTGTTTTAGGTTTTATTATGGGTAATGTAACACTTACCACAGCATGTGGAAATCCTTCTGTGAAATCTTGAAATGCTGTCATGACTTGTGATCTTGACTTGGTTGTTTTGAAGTCTTTACTAGACTTCCCATCAGATTTCCGAATTCCTTCAATGCGGAATCCTAGTGTGGCTGTTGAAGAAATGGTCTCCCTCCAAACCATATATCTGCAAACATTCCAAGCATTTAAACATTCTGTCTTGGCACTGTTAATGACTTGTGAATACTTCAATACAAAAAAGTTTCGAACTACAAACAATATTGAAAATGACAATGACAAATAAAATTTTAAGGTACAATTGAAAAGAATGCAACTCTGAGTAGTTACCACGATCCTTATTAGCAAGTACAGTTTCTAATTGTATCAGAATTGTCAAAAAAATGCCAAAATGAGGTAATTCTTTGGGTTAAGTGTAATACATTATATGGCTATTAATAAATGTAAAGACAATAAATTATTTTATACATTACATAAGTTATTCTTTTGATTGTTGAATAATAATTCATTGGGTATCAATATCAAATATTCATAACTAATATCTCTCATGATGTAATTACATACATTGAAGTAAATTAGTTCTATGGTTGGTATCCACACTAATTTTTGTCTTACCTGGGCTTTGTGACTCCTTTGAGTCTGTGTTCCTCTTCTGTTGGAGCATCTTTATCTATTTGAATCATTTTATCATACATATCCTGTAAACAAAATGTAATTCTTACTTAAAAGAACAATACAAGATGACACATCAAAAGTATGAGTCTACTGTAAATACAATATGATTTTGTGCAATGTATTTCTATAACTGTCAACGGATATAATATATTTGGAGCATAAAAAAGAATCTGAGACTTTTGGAAGCAACATTTTCAATTGGTTATGATAGAAGTATAATTTTGCCAGTCTGGTGTTCGAGATCGTTAAGTCAGCCCTGCCGTAGCAATCTTGGACTAAATTATTTTGGGTTTGAGTCCTGCCTCAAGTATGATTGTTTTTGTGTTCGTCCTTTCACCCCCTATCAACACCACATCATGTAATCCTCACAGTCACCATACTGTTAAATTCAATAATGGTCGCTAATGATCAAGATGTTGATGCAAACTTAAATAACAAAAGAGAAAGTATAGTTCTCTTGTAAACTCATGTGTGTGTGTATTTTTATGAAGGGTAATAGCAATGAGAAAGAAACAAGATTTTGCACTCTTTCATTTTTACATTGTAGAAGTTTTCTGGTTCTATTCTATCACTCCCGTTGTCATTTTCTCACTGAAGTTGATCACAAAAGCATATACAATTAATTTGAATCAGATAGTCAATTGAATGGATGGAGACAGGACATGTCTTCTTTCATTCACACACAAATTCATTCTACATTGTTTAAATGGTTATGCATTCAAATCAAGGTCAGTTAAGTTCATTTCTTTTTCATGTTGTGTTACAGGTATTGAGTGTATTAAACTGACCTGACTAAACTATAGTCCTGACCTCATCACTGAGGAGTAATTAAATGCTAACATCTATAGATTCAGAGGGCTATACAAATTTACGATGAAATTTGTAAATGCTTTGATTTTGGGGGTCATTTACATGATGCTTCAAGGACATTTTCAAAAGTTTCTCAAAAATGGCTCCAACATTTTTATTTAAATTTCTTTCTTAGATAGGGCAAAGTTTATGGTGTTTTTGCCAAAGCAAACTTATGATGTGCTACAAGAGCACAAATTTTTGAATTTTTTTTCTTCTTCTTTTTTCAATTTGCGAATAAAAGGAGGGCTTGTCGAAAATAGGACCAGCACCACCTTCTTTACCGTTCTTTGCTACATAGGAGGGAGGAAAATGAAGAAAAAATGTTGCGCCGTATTTGAGAAAATGTAATGTTTCATGAATTGCTTCAACTTCAAGTAGAAATTAAGCGAAAATATGTTTTTTCTTTTCTTCAAAAATATGTACATAATTTCTTTTAAAGACATAATGTTTTGGAAAGAATTTCATTTGAGACAAGAATCTCTTATCTTTAATATTGTGATTCTCAATGGTAATTTTTACAAGTTTTGAAAATACAGAAAGTTTGCCCCCAAATGGGACCATCTCAAATTTTACGCCGTCCTTTGATACATACCAGAAAAAAAATTAAAGAAAAAATTTGGAGCAGTTTTTGAGAAAATAATTGTTGAAAAATTGCCTAAATGTCCTGCAAAACTACGCGAAAACTACTTATATTTACGAACAATCGTACAATACTACTTCAAGATGATAACTTAGAAGAAAATATTATGAACTTTTGCAATTTTCGAAAAATCAGCGAGTTTAATAAAAATGAGACCTGCGTCATCTTCTTAAGCGTCCTTTACCCTCTCCCAGGACAAAGTTTAACAGAAACATTTGGAGCCATTTTTGAGAAAATTTTGAAAATATTGAAGCTTTATGTAAAGTATCACCCAAAATCAAAATCTCCGTTTCAAACTCGCAGCGCATCTGCTTCCTTTAAAACGATCGGCAAATATCAATTTTGGAGAAAATTTCAGAACAGTTTTGGTGATAGCCTTGACATAGGCAGACGGACAGACGTTTTGTCGTCAATCGATTTTTTGATATCAAGAAGCCACAAAACATTGATTCTGGCTGAACAACGTGAGAGAAATACGTATAGAGATAAGATTTATCCACTTTTTCGTAACCAGGGTCCGGCAATAAATGCTGTGGCGAAACTTCGCCGTTTTTTCTCTGCAGCATTACTATACTTTCTCTATACCGTGTAAGCAGGTATAAACTGTGTAAACACAGTTGGGTCTTGTCACTCGAGGCGAAAGGAAAT